TTCTATGAAAATCTCGCTTCCTTCTCCATGTTTTGAAAAAAATGCACGAAGACATAATACCCTTACCACTATGTGGTGTGAGGTAAAAAACCACAAAAAAGCTTAATTATAACAACACGGCCATTGCAAATGATTTGAATGATTTTTAGGAAATTCAATTAAAACCAGTAAAGAAAGACTTAAAGTCGGGCGGGGCCGACTTTATGATACCCTACACCACTTTGCTAATTTAGTAGAGCTCCGCATAACAATTAAAAGTTTTTATGGGAGAATTCAATCATACACCCGATGATTATAATTATAATTTAAAGTTCAAAGGGCTAAATATGCCGAAGCATTTGTATATTTTAAATTCGGATTTGTATTGCCCATTTGGTGCACAATTCACTTGAAATCGGATAAAAATATATATGGGAGCTATATCCAAATCGGAACCGATCTCGATAAAATTTGGTAAAGATATTTCTATATTGATATATTTCCCTGAATATCGTTGTTAAGGAGAGCATATTAAGGCTGTGGGTTACAAATATAACAAATCGGATGAACAGTATATATGGAAGCTATAGCTTTATCTGAACCGATCTTTGACATACTAGCTTTTAGACTCAATTCGGTCGTAAGTGCCAAATTTCATCCCATTTGGGCAAATATTAGACGTTTGGTGCACAATCAAAGGTAAATCGGACGAAGTTATATATGGGAGCTATATCCAAATCTGAACCGATCTCGATAAAATTTAGCAAATGTATTTCAGAGCTGTATTAGATATATTTCCCCAAATATTGTTGTTACAGAGTGCATATTACGGTTGCGGAGGACAAAAATAACAAATCGGATGAACAATATATATGGGAGCTATAGCTATATCTGAAGCGATTTCGATCAAATTTGGCACACTTATTTTCAGGTCCAATCTGATCGTACGTGCAAAATTCCATGCTATTCGAACTGATATTACACGTTTGGTGCACAATAAAAGGCAAATCGGACGAAGATATATATGGGAGCTATATCTAAATGTTGATCGATTATCTCCAATTTCAATAGGGCCAAACAAATGATTTGTGCAAAATTTCATCTGGATCGAGCAATAAATGCGAACTGTATTTTCTTTACAAAAATACATGGACAGACGGACGGACGGACATGCATAAATCGACTCAGAATGTGATTCTATGCAGATCATCAAAAGGAACTATGGGTCTATCTCGTTTCCTTTTGCCTGTTACAAACAAATGCACAAAGACATAATACCCTGACCACCTTGTGGTGTAGGGTATAAAAATATTTTTCACTGCAGTCGAGTTCACAAATATCAACGAACGAACCTAATATTTCAAATGCATTACCATTGGCATTGTATTGTGTGCCGGCCATAATGTTGTTTTTGTAAAATCGTAAGTTGTTGCCACCAATGCACTCATACATATATTACAAGGCATGGCGAAATTCTCGTGTAAACAACACCAACAATAACAACATGCCGGCGTAAATGCAATATTTTTATTTGCGTGTGATTCATCAGCTGTTTAATGACTCTCATTCGGCCACTAGCGTTGAGTAGTTCTCAAACGAACTAGTTCAATTGAACGATGCACTCGAAAGAGAAACATTTTTTGAATCGCCTATTAAAGGACTCGGTAATTTGAAGATACAGTAGCTCCAAGTTAAACTCGTACTCGTTAGCAAACAATTTTCTTTCATGCAATAAATGATTGTTATCGAATGCACTACCAGAAGAAACCTATATTTTTCATTAGTGTATGGGATACTGGAACTAGCCGTAGAACAAAAGTTCCTCTGTTTCTATATATTTAACAAAATAATGACATTTATTCTAAAACTCACCAAACTTCTATGCAAAAGCTAAACTCGTACAGCTTACATTTATACGGCAACCCTGTTTCGAACTGCGTCCAACTTCACCTGATTGTTGGAAAATGTATTTGGGGAAGTCCCTAAAAGCTAATTTATTAGAAAATTTCCACGTGTTGTGTAATTCGTTGACGTAAATATTTAAAAATATTTAAAAAAAGCTGTAAGTTTGGCCGGCCGAACTTTGAATACCCTCCACCATTTGGTACGAATTTAACAATTTTCAAAAAATAAGATCCGTTAAAAATTCTGTTTAAATCTTAAAAATACCGAATGTTGCCGTATATTAGGGTCTATACGACGACGTGGACCAGTATAGGCAACTTTTGTCACAAGCTATTACAATATTCAAATGCGAAACATAAAAAAACTGTTTATAATGTAGCTAAAATCATCAAAATACCGAATATAGGGAGGTACAATGGTGGTTATAAAACGTGGACCTGCACAGACAATTTTCTGTCATAGGCTGTAGTATCCATTACGAACTTCAAATGCAAAACTTGAAATAATTCCGGTAAATAATGTCGCTAAAATCATCAAAATACCGAATATCGGGAGGTACCGTTTTATGGGGGCTATACGAAGACGTGGACCTACATGGACCATTAATACCAAAAGTCCTGCAGGCATAATACACATTTGAGTAAAATTTTATCAACATACTTCATTTTGTTCGGAAGCGAAAGTGATGTCCACAGACGGACGGACATTGATAAATAGACATAGAATATTATGCTGTGGGGTCTAAAATGTATATTTCGAGGTGTTACAAACGGAATAACAAACTTAATATACCCTCCATACTATGGTGGAGGGTATAAAAAAATAAAAATAAAAAATGGAAGAAAAGAAGAAAGATTGCGATGTGCCAAGGAGCACATATCAAAAGATATTTCATTTTTTGAAGAATGTGCTGTTCACGGACGAGAGCAAATTCAAACTTTCTGCTTCAGATGGCAGACCTTATGTATGCAGAAAGGCAAATGAAGCACTCCTTGTTAAAAATATGAAGGCTACATTGAAGCACGGTAGAGGGTCAGTAATGGTGTGGATGGGGTTCATTTTCAGCCTCTGGACCTGGTGTATTGCATTTTATTGAGGGCATTATGGATCAGACTACAGGGTGAGGTGAAAAAACTGCAACCAACTTCAGACTGCTGTCATTTCAAAGCCACTCTTCCGACAGCTGTTAAAATTATTCCAGTGACAGCTCATTATATTGTTTACAAGCGTACAAAAGCATTTTGGTGAGAATTTTTCAAAAAAAAAGTTATTCGTGATTTATTTCAAACCTGATAGTGTGATTTCTTTATATTTAGCTGGAAAACCACCACAAGTGGCTATCGTTGGAGCATTCCAGCATTTAAATGTGAATAAATCTTTTGTGTCTCGTACCATAGCTCGTTATCGTGATACTGGTAACGTAGCCTGACATCAAGGAAGTGGACGGAAGAAAACCGCAACATCAGCAGAAATGGTTCGAAAAGTGAAGAAGCGACTTAATGGAAACCCGCCTCGCAGTAGCCGAAAACTGGCTGAAAATGAGCTGAACATATCGCAATATTCCATTCGGCAAATATTGAAAAGTGAGCTCGGAGTAAAGCCATTGAAATTCCAAAAAGTGCAAAAACTTACATCGCAACAGAAAAAAATAGACTCAAAAGAGCTAAAGAGTTGCTTCACTTGGCCGAAAGTGGTAAATAGCGGAATTTGGGTTTCTCCGATGCGAAAACTTTCGTTGTCCAGCAGTTTGTAAACAAACAAAATGATCGCATTTACTTGCCAAAGAGGTCAGCTGAAAATGTCCACCTTCGGTTGGGCCGTCATAACAGCCGATGGTCGCTCTCCGATCGTTTTAGTCGACCATGGTATCAGAATAAATGCCGATTATTATCGCGAAAATATTTTGGAGGGTGTATTAAAGCCTTGGGCACGCAAACATTTTGGCCGCAGACCTTGGACGTTCCACTCAGCACGCGCCACCCAAGAATGGTTACATAATGGGTTTCCTCGCTTCATTTCCAGCGCACAATGACCACACAATGTCTGGGGTATTTTGGAAAGCAGGGTTGGCACTAAAAAATACCCAAGTGTCGATCACCTCAAGCAAGCGCTTCGCCGGGAATGGGCCAAAATACCGCAGAGCAACATTCGGGCAGCGTGTGACGATTTCATTGGCCGTTTGATGGTCATAATTCGAGTCAAAGGTGAACAATTCGAACAAATCTAAACTTATTCTAAAATTTGATGTTATTTCCGACATTTTTATACCCTCCACCATACTATGGAGGGTATATTAACTTTGTCATTCCGTTTCTTGATCAGCGTAACATTCTAAGTCGATTTAGCGATGTCTGTCTGTCCGTCTTTCGAACGAATTGAGATAGAAGGCACACGTTTATTTTGCCAGTAGGAAGGTAAAGTTCGTAAATGGGCCATGTAGGTCTACGTTTTCATATAGCCCCCCATATAACTGTACATCCCGATATTCGGTATTTTGATGATTTTAGCGACATTATTCACCGGAATTGTTTCAAATTTGGTATTTGAAGTTCCTAATGGATTCTACCGACTATGACAGAAAATTGTATGTGCAGGTCCACGTCTTCGTATAGGCTCCATATACCTCCCAATTTTCGGTATTTTGATGAATTGACGTCATTATTTGCCGGAGTAGTTTAAAATTACGTATTTAGAGTTCGTAATTGGAACTACAATCTGTGACAGAAAATTATCTATGCAGGTCCAGGTCTTCGTATAGACCCCATATATCAGTACCTTCCTATATTCGGTATTTTGACGATTTTATGTACAATACTCGTCGAAATTGTTTGAGATGTCGTATTTCAAGTTCGTAATGGATGCTACAGCCTGTGACAGCGAGTTGTCTATGTAGGTCCAGGTCTTCGTATAGCTCCGATATAACGGTACCTCCCTATATACGATATTTTGGTGATTTTAGCTACATTATTCACCGTTTATTTCAAGTTACCCAATTTGAATATGGTAATGGCCTATGACAAACAATGTCTGTGTAGGTCCACGTCGTATAGATGCCAATATAATAGCTATATTCGGTATTTTTAAAATTTTAACAGAATTTTTTTAAGGATTTTATTTTTTGAAAATTTCCAAATTCGTTCCAAATGGTGGAGGGTATTTAAAATTCGGCCTGGTCGAACTTCCTGCTTTTTAACCTGTCCTATTTGTCCTATATCGGGACATATTTCAAGTCTGCTGTTGTGCTCTCATTGATGTGTTGTGCCAGTGCTGTACTGTGATTCCTTTTCTTGATATCTGCTTCACTGTTCGCTTAATCGGACGCGCTTTTTTGTGAACTGCATTTCGACAAAACAAAAGTTGCCAACACTGATCCGTGTAATCAGTTGAATTAAGTTTGAACAATTTATAACGAAGTTGCGGAATCATTTTTTTTATCAATTTTTAGTTTCGATTGTCATCTGAAAACGGAAGGTTAGTAGAAGTGGGAAAACTGTATGTAAGTAAGACAGAAAAAAATAACTCTTTACAATATTCTTGTTGTTGACAGGTAGCACCAGGGATATAGTAGCCATGAATGCCAAGGACCTGAATGAAAATCAACGACGAATTTTAATGGATTTTCTCAGTCCAAACTTTAGACTCTACGTCGATTTTCATTACTACGCCAGCATGAGGTGGTCCGAAAATCATGAAGAAAATCTTGATAACTATAAAAATGTTGCGGAAATGTTGAACTATGAGGCAAACATGGAAATAAGGGAATATTTGGAAAACGCATCACCTGAAACGATGCCTAGATTTGTGAGACTCTTTGCGGATTTCTATGAATCTTGTGGTGAAGATCAGGAATTTTTGGCCCGCAAATACATGCAACAAATGGAGAAGCAGGAGAATATGAAATGGGCCTTACTGACACCCAACGATAGGTTGGAAGAGATTGGCTTCGATTGGCCTACAATTTTGGCTAGATTTCGTAAATATGGTCTCAATGATGTCCTCATTAAATCCGAGTTTAGCTATCAAAATGCCAATAAGCGGAGGATTTATTTAAAAAAGCCCTTCGATGATATATTTAATGCCCTAAATGCCTATAGTCTGGATGATTACAATAATAAAATACCCCTACCCCAGGGTACCACAGGTTTTATGGTATTATGGGAGAGTATTGATAAATTTGAGGACAAAATAAATGACATCGATGTTGAGCAGCAGATGGAGGTGTTTGAATACAATAATCTACCATATCCATGGTTGAAAAAATATCTAAGTTTCCTAATGGAATCTGAAAACCTCACCACTTCGAATATTGAGTTTGTCATCGATGATACTGCCTATGTGGAGGCTTTAGATAATATCCTGTCCGAGTTGGATGGCGTATTTCTATCCCGCTATTTGGAAGTAAGATTTATATACCATTTAGAAATGCTCCACAAGACATCGACACCCAATGAATGTATGACCACAGCCAAAAGTCTAATGCCCTTTGCCCATGAATGGATCTATGCCGAATTACACCCTGAGTTATTAGCTGAAATATCCAGAATTCATGAAATGTTTGAAAAAATAATTCAACATCTGGAGAAATACATGCGCATGGATAAGTTTGATCTGATACCCCAAGAATTCTATGTGAAATTGAAAAACCTCCAGCTAAAGGTGGGTAATTTGCCACAAGAAAATGCCAAGGATCTGTTGGAAAACTACTATACCGATTTAGAATTCGATCCGAAAAATTATTATGGCAATTATTTGAAATTATTGCAATTCTTCTTCGAACTGGAAAAGACCTGCCAAAGCTATGAGGCCATAGACTTACAGGTAAATAAGGAGTTCTTCATTAAGAATCCAGTCCATGAATATGACAAGGAAATTCACACGCAGCATTATCCTGGTGTGAACGTTTTAATTGTGCCTTTAATGCTCTTGAGGCCACCCATCTACCATGGGGCCTTTGAGGAGATTATCAAGTGTAGTTCGTTGGGCACCATCATGGCCAGTGATGCGTTTAAATCTCTTGGCACGCTGCCAGGTTACAATGAACATGAAACAGAAAATTTCGCCGGAGTTATAGGTCTGCATGCATCATACGAAATTTTCTTCTCATCTTTAACGTCCGAAGAGATCAGCCGATATCAAACAGTGTTCGGTTTAAGCTCATTGCAAGACGTCAAAAAAATGTTCTTTTTGAATGCGCTTCACTACAAATCCGGATGGTTGTCGAGCAATGGTAGCTATGTTGCATTTGTTGTCAGTCATCTGTCGGAATTTGCGGAAACTTTTGATTGTAAAATGGATAGATTTTTAAAAATGTTTTGAAAAAAGTTTTGAGAAAAAAAATTAAATTTTTGGAAGAGAAATATTGGATTTATTTATTTATGGCCAAAGGTGAGATGTCGGTGTCGAAACTTCTGTCTTTTGCCTTCCGATTTTAATGCCCTCCACCATAGTATGAAGGGTATATTATGTTTGTCATTTCGAACCTCGAAATATACATTTTAGACCCCACAAAGTATATACAAGGTGAGATAAAAAAAACTGCAACAAAGTCAAAAGCCATAATTTTTATATATTTTTTTAAATTTCATTGAATGAAAGCAACAAATGTCGGAAATAGCATCAACTTTAAAAATAAGTTTAGATTTGATCGAATTGGTCATTTTTTGGAACGAATTATGGCCCTTAAACGGCCAATGAAACTGTCACACGCTGCCCGAATGTTGCTCTGCAGTATTTAGGCCCAATCCCAGCGAAGAGCTTGCTTGAGGTGATCGACACTTTGGTATTTTTTAGTGCCGAGCTTGCTTTCCAAAATATTTCAGACACAATACTGCAACGGATTGGTATCCGGAGATTTTGGTGGCCATTGTGAGCTGGAAATGAAGTGAGGGCCGTCATTTTGTAACCATTCTTGGGTGCGCGTGCTGAGTGCGGTAATTCTGAGTCCTGTTGGAATGTCCAAGGTCTGCGGCCAAAATATTTGCATGCCCAAGGCTTTAATACACCCTCCAGAATATTTTCGCCATAATATTCGGCATTTATTCTGATGCCACGGTCGATCAATGCGAGCGGAGAGCGACCATCGGCTGTTATGGCGGCGCACCACCACACCATCACCATGGTCGGCGCTTGAGTTCTGGTGGCCAACCGCACCGCGAAGATGCACATTTTCAGCTGACCTCTTTGGCAAGTAAACACGATCATTTTGTTTGTTTACAAATTGCTGGACAACGAATGTTTTCTCATCGGAGAACCAAACCAAACCAACTTCGGCAGTTCCCCACCTACTTTCGGCCAAGCGAAGCAACTCTTTAGAGTCTATTTTTTCAGTTGCGGTGTAAGTTCTTGCACTTTTTGGAATTTCAATGGCATTACCCCGAGCTCATTTTTCAATATTTGCCGAATGGAATATTGCGATATGTTCAGCTCACGAGCCATTTCAACTCGTCGGCCACTGCGACGTGGGTTTGGATCATATCGCTTCTTTACTTTTCGTCCACTTCCTTGACGTCAGGCTATGCTACCAGTATCAGTATCACGGTAATGAGCGATGGTACGCGACACCAAAGATCTATTCACATTTAAGTGCTGGAGTGCTCTAACGATAGCCACTTGTGATTTTCCAGCCAAATATAAAGAAATCACACTAACACGCTTGAATTCCATCGCGAATAACTTTTTATACCCTCAGTCATATGGCTACAAAGGGTATATATCATTTGACACGGCCTAGTCGAAATAACAGTTTTAGACCCTATATCTCTTTGGACCAAACCCGTTTCAGAACATTTGGAGTCGATCTAGTGATATCCGTCCGTCCGTCTGTCTGTCTAGCTGGATGATGCACACGATAACTCTCGAAGGGAGTATACGATTTGGTCCAAACTTGGTACATCGTAATATTTTTATCAAACTTAGATCGAGTTCGGAGATGGAAAATATCAATCCACTCCTTCTGGTACCTCCCCAACAAAAGCTCGACATTTTAAAAAAATATATATTCTGCACAGAAAGAGAAAGGATGATACGATTTTGCCCCAACTTCGCAAATCCTAATATTTGCAACAGTGCAAGGTCAAGGACAATATCGATGCACTCCATCAAGACTGTGAAATCACTCTAGCTTCCGAACGAAATGAACTAAGTTGATAAACATTTACTCAAATGTGTACTATGTCTGCGGGACTTTTGGTATTGAAAATGGGCCATGTAGGGACACATCTTCGTATAGCCCCCATAAAACGGTACACCCTGATATTCGGTATTTTGATGGTTTTTTGTCACATTTTTTCACGGATTTGTCTGAGAATTGGTATTTGTTGATCATAATAGGTTCTAGCTACGTTGGCGAAACATTGTATGTGTAGGTCCACGTTTTTGTATAGCCCTATAAAGCGGTACCTCCCGATATTCGGTATTTTGATGATTTTAGCGACATTATTTACCGGAACTATCTAAAATTTGGTATTTGAAGTTCGTAATGGATGCTACAGCCTATGACAGAAAATTATCTGTGCAGGTCCACATCTTCGTATAGCCCCCATATACCGTACCCTCCGATATTCGGTATTTTGATAATTCTAGCGACATTATTTTCCGGAACTATTTCAAATTTGGTACTTGCAGTTCGAAATGGATACTACAGCCTAAGACAGAAAATTGTCTGTGCCGTTCCACGTTTTATAACCTCCATGGTACCTCCCTATATTCGGTATTTTTATGATTTTAGCTACATTATAAACATATTTTTTTTCAGGTTTCGCATTTGAATATTGTAATAGCTTGTGACAAAAGTTGCCTATGCAGGTCCACGTAGTCGTATAGACCCTAATATACGGCTACGTTCAGTATTTTTAAGATTTTTAACAGGATTTTTTAACGGATTTTATTTATTATTTATTTATTTTTTTTTTTTTTGAAAATTGCCAAATTTGTACCAAATGGTGGAGGGTATACAAAGTTCGGCCCGGCCGAATTTACAGCTTGTTTTACTTGTTGTTTATTTCCTATTTTGATTTCTTGACCCCTCGGGCTGATGGTGGGAGTGTTGAGAACCCCCTGGCAATAGCTGCCACAATTGAGTAAAATTTTATCAAGTTGGAACCCCATCATGTCGCTACTTTAGGTTTTACCTAACATAGTTTGTATTGAAGTTCTTCACTTAGCTGATAACAGCTAATTTTTAGGATTTGTTTGTATTGATAACACGTTTTGTCTAAATAGAACCTAGACAAATGGAGGCAGATGTTCTACAATGCTTTGCTTTGCATTTACTGACCTAAAACGTGAGATAACGCGAAATTGCCTAATAGGGGTGATTAGCTAATTTGTAATCTGGAAAAAAAAACCTCTAACCTTTCACAGGCGAAATGCAAATAATCTGAAAGTCATCAAATTGTAATCAATTTCCTATAAAAGTCTAATATTTTATTGTTTTTGCTAAGAGTTTGTAATTGCACTTCGAAAAAGTCGAAAGGGAATCGACTTAGGCGTAGCAAAAAACACAGAATGTGGAAAATATATTTTCACCTACTTTTGGTGGCATTTTTCTTGGGAAGGACCACCTGCCTAAGAAAAGAGGATGATGATCCGAGTACCCTTAATCAAAACTACTATCAGCATTTAATGGACAATTTGGATAAAAGCTATAGCCCCTGCTCCCAATTCTATCCGTATGTGTGTAACAAATGGCCTGATAATCACAAGGAGGATAAGTATAATTATGACTCGGTTGGTGGGATGTTATTCCATGAAATTAATATGGAAATTAAGGAGTATCTGGAAACCTCCACCGTATCAAATATGTCTGATCAGGTGAAATTAATTAAGGATTTCTATGTGTCCTGTGTGGAAGGTAAGGATTATAAGCCTTTGGAGTTTATGCATCGGTTGGAAAAAGAGGAAAATATGAAATGGGCCCTGCTCACACCTCTAGAGGATAAGGATGTTGTTTTCGATTGGCCCTCCACAAAGGCCGTTTTTCGTAAATACGGGTTAAATGATCTACTGGTGGAACAATGGACCACATCCAGGGAACGTTTCGAGTACATAAAAGAATCGGATATGGAACAATTTAAAGAAACCATCCCACTGCCTCAGGGGGCAATGGATTTTTTGGATCTATGGAAGGACCTGGATGAGTTTGAGGATAAATTCGGTACAATGTCAGTGGATGAAGAGGAGAAGAAGGAATATAAATTTAAGGATATACCCTATCCCTGGTTGAAGAAATATCTGTCGGCCATGGTGGAGCCTCCAGGTTTGAAGGCCAACACAAAATTTACGTTCGATAATATTGAAAGTCTGAAAAGTTTGGATAAACTGTTAAAGCAGTATGACAATGTATTTCTTTGCCGCTATTTGGAGGTACGTTTTCTACTCTATTTGGAAAAGGCCGGTATACTTGGCAAGCCAAATGAATGCCTGAGCATGGCCACTACTCTGCTCAACTTGCCCGCTGAATGGATCTACCAAGAATTACATCCAGAGTTGATGCCAGAAATTCCAAACTCCAACACATGTTTCAAAATATTATCGCAAATGTCAACTCAACCCTGCAAAAGGCCAAGGCCTTGGACATTATACCCCAAGAATTTTTTCAAATTCTCCAAACCATGCAGCTCCAAGTGGGCTATTTGAATTCCGAAAATGCCACAAAATACCTGGAAATAATCTATGGAAATCTCACATTGAATCCCCAAGATTATTATGGCAATTATTTGAAGCTATTGAATTTTCATTTTGAGCTCGAAGTGTACCTTGCCCATGGCAGTAAGGATATATTCTATAATAGTCCCACGTATAAAGTGGAAGCATGGGATTTTGGAACCCAATATAATGCCAAATTGAATCATCTAATCATACCCCTGGCTGTGTTGCGACCACCGCTATATCATCTGGCCTATGAGGATATATTTAAGCACAGTGCCTTGGGTAGTTTTATCGCCTCGAAAATATTTGATCCTCTACACCTTATGCATGGCGTGAAATCTTCCGACGTATACAATTTGGCCGATATCACAAGTCTTCAATCGCCATTTCAGATTTATTTTTCATCATTGAATAGCAAATCGAATCGAATCGAAAAATATCAATCGCTTTTCAATATAACATCCCAGCTGGAATTGAAACAATTGTTCTACATCAATGCCGTTCACTATCTCTGTGCATCGGATTACGAAGATACGGATCGTGTCAATTTGATTGTTGGCAAATTGAACGATTTCAATGAGGCATTTGATTGTAAATTGAATAAATTTTTAAAGGAAATTGCCTAATCGAAATAAAATCGGTTGTTGGTTTTAATTGTTTAAAGTTTGAATGGGTGGGTGGGGTGGTGGAGAAGTGGTATTTGTATTTTCTTTAACTGGACCCATATTTACTGGAAAAACTGCATGCAATTAACAGTTTTTAGCCAGCATCAATAAAAACCTTGGTCAGGCGGAAAAATGTGGAATAAAGTTATGGGGAATTGTATTTATTTGCGAGGATGTGAATGAATGAAATGAGTAACTCATATATTGGGCGCCACCTGTATAGAGCACTCTAAGTATAACGTTGATGGATCTACCTTATCGATGATAATTTATTTATGGAGGGTATATTAAGTCTGTCATTTCGTTTGCAACACCTCGAAATATACATTTTAGACTCCACAAAGTATATGTATTCTTGATCAGCATAAATTTCTGTCCGTCCGTCTATCCGTCTGTGAAAATCACTCTAGCTTTCGAACGAAATGAATTAGATTGATAAAATTTTACTCAAATGTATATTATGTCTGCAGGACTTTTGGTATTGAAAATGGGCCATTTAGGTGCACATCTTCGTATAGCCCCCATATAACAGTACCTCCCGATATGCGGTATTTTGACGATTTTAGCGACATTATTTAGCGGAATTGTTTCAAATTTGGTATTTGAAGTTCAAACTGGATACTACAGCCTAAGACAGAAAATTGTCTGTGCTGGTCCACGTCTCCGTATAGCCCCAATATAACGTTACTCCCCGATATTCGGTATTTGGATGATTTTAGCGACATTATTTAACGGAATCGTTCCAAATTTCGCATGTGAAGTTCGTAATAGATACTTCATCTCATGCCAGCAAATTGTCTGTGCAGGACCACGTGTTCGTATAGCCCCCATATAACAGTACCCCCGGTATTTTGATGATTTTAGCTACATTATAAACAGATTTTTTTTCAAGTTTCGTATTTAAATATTGTAATAACTTATGACAAAAGTTGCCTATGCAGGTCCACGTCATCGTATAGGCATTCGGTATTTTTAAGATTGTAATAGAATTTTTAACGGATTTTATTATTATTTTTTTTTTTTTTTTGGAAACTGCCAAATTTTTTGCCAAATGATGGAGTGTATTAAAAGTTCGGCCCGGCCGAACTCACAGCTTTTTTACTTGTTATAATATAATCCTTCTCGAAATGGTATCATGCACTCTATAGCAATGTTATTTGGTATAAATAGATTAAATTGTCTTCGACAAATTTAGTGAAAATCGATTGAGAATTGGATATACCTCCCATATAGTAGGTCCCTCTGAAACCAAACTATAACTGCTCCAAAGCCAAATGTTGATAGGTGGCATGATCTACTTCAAATACATTTTTTTGTTACGGGACCTCTACTAAATATGCACAGTGGTGTAGGGTATCATATCGTCGGCCCCGCCCAACTTTTGAATTTTCCTTACTGTTTTTATACCCTACACCAAAAGGTGGTCAGGGTATTATGTCTTTGTGCATTTGTTTGTAACAGGCAAAAGGAAACGAGATAGACCCATAGTTCCTTTTGATGATCTGCATAGCATCACATTCTGAGTCGATTTATGCATGTCCGTCCGTCCGTCCGCCCGTCTGTCCATGTATTTTTGTAAACAAAGTACAGGTCGCATTTATTGCCCGATCCAAATGAAATTTTGCACAAATCATTTGTTTGGCCCAAGGACGAACCCTATTGAAATTGGAGATTATCGGTCAAAATTTAGATATAGCTCCCATATATATCTTCGTCCGATTTGCATATTATTGTGCACCAAACGTGTAATATCAGCCCGAATAGTATGGAATTTTGCACATACAACCAAATTAGGCCTGAAAATAAGTATGCCAAATTTTATCGAAATCGGTTCAGATATAGCTATAGCTCCCATATATATTGTTCATCCGATTTGTTAGTTTTGTCCACCGCCGCCGTAATATGCACTCTGTAACAACAATATTTGGGGAAACATATCAAATACAGCTCGGAAATACATTTGCTAAATTTTATCGAGATCGGTTCAGATTTGGATATAGCTGCCATATATAACTTCGTCCGATTTACCTTTTATTGTGCACCAAATGTCTAATGTTTGCCCAAATGGGATGAAATTTGACACTTACGACCGAATTGAGTCTAGAAGCTTGTATGTCAAATTTGGTGAAGATCGGTTCAGATATAGCTATAGCTTCCATATATATTGTTCATCCGATTTGTTATTTTTGTCCTCCGCAGCCGTAACATGCACTTTGTAACAACAATATTTGGGGAAATATATCAAATGCAGCTCAGAAATATCTTTGCCAAATTTCATCGAAATCGGTTCCGACTTGGATATAGCTCCCATATATATCTTTATCCGATTTCAAATTAATTCTGCACCAAACAGGCAATACAAGTCCGAATTTAAAAGATACAAATGCTTCGGCATATTTAGTCCTTTGAAATTTAAATCATAGCGTGTATGATTGAATTCTCCCATAAAAACTTTTAATTGTCATGCGGGGCTCTACTGAATCAGCAAAGTGGTGTAGGGTATCATAAAGTCGGCCCAGCCCGACTTTAGGACTTTCTTTGCTGTTTTTTTTTTTTGGAAAATTTGCAAATCCATTCCAAATTGTGGAGGGTATTGAAAGTTTGCCTTGGCCGAAAATATTGCTTCTTTCTTTTTTGTTGTTTCACGGTATCGGAAATAATGCAAATGCTTCGAATTTGCAGTACCCAAAAAAACGTGAGATAACAGAACATGTTTTTTCTTAGATTTTTCGGCAAACGTTTTGCAAATTTAGAAAAAAAAATAACAAATAATAATCAACAAATTTAATATAAACTTTAACCCTCCACAGGCAGATATGCCGGGCGAATAATAAAAATACAAATAAAAAACGTTTTGGAACACCAGCAGCAGTATTGAAAAATTTCATATAAATATTGAATAGTTGGCTAATCAAAAATTAGTCTATATTTGAATTTCGAAGAGAAGTGTGGTCCAGTGCAGCAAAAAATCAGAGAATTCTACAAAAAAAAAATGAAAATTCTCCTTGCCCATCTATTTTTGGTGGTGCTGTCCTTTGGCCTGGCCAGCTGCTCCACAAAGGATGAAGATGCCACTGCTGTTAATCAAAACCACTATCACCATTTAATGGATAATTTACATCAAAACTATAGCCCTTGTTCGGAATTCTATGAATACGTCTGCTCCAAATGGCCTGAGAATCATAAGGAGAATAAGGATGATTATAACTCCGTGGGTAAAATGATGTACCATGAAGCGAATGTGGAAATAATAGAATATTTGGAAAACAGCGATGTTTCAGGCATGCCAGATCATGTCAAATTGGTAAAGGACTTCTACATGTCCTGTGCCCAGGGCAAGGATTATAATCCTTTGGAATTTATGCACTGGCTGGAGAGGGAGGAAAATATGAAATGGGCCCTGCTCACACCACTCGAGGATAAGGATGTTGTCTTCGATTGGCCCTCTACCATGGCCATATTTCGTAAATATGGTTTCAATGATTTCCTGGTGGAACTATGGAGCAAAGCCAAGGAGAGTTTTGAATATATCACCGAATCACAAATGGAAAGTTTCAAGGAGCGTATAGCTCTACCTTCCGGTGCCATGGATTTTATGGATCTATGGAAGACCATTGAAGAGTTTGAACAGAAATTTGGTGAAATTCAAGTGGCTGAGCCGGAAGAAAAGAAATATAAATTCAAGGACTTGCCATATACATGGTTAAGGAAATATTTGTCCCTCCTGGTGAAGCCCCAACATGTGGACGAGGATAAGCTCTTAGCTATTAATAATGTGGTCTGCATGGAAGATCTGGATAGGCTAGTAAAGGAATACGATGACGCCTTCCTTTGCCGTTATTTGGAGTTACATTTCCTCATGTATTTGCAACAGGCCCAAGATCTGGGCAAGGCCAATATATGTATGGCCATGACGGCGAATATTTTGGACATGCAGGTTGAATGGATCTATGAACAGCTGCATCCCGAATTGAAGAAGGAAATTCCCAAAATCCAACAAATGTTTAACAATATTATCAAAAATGTCAATGCCAGTCTGCAGGGTGCCAAGGGCGATGTTGTGCCCCAGGAATTCTTCGGCAAACTGGAAACCATGAAACTCTATGTGGGTAATTTCCCTCTGCCAAATATGACGGAATTTTTAAACACACTCTATAAAGACGCCAAATTAGATGCCAACGATTTTTATGGCAATTATATGCAGCTACTAAAACTAACCGCTGCCATGCAAATGAACAATGCCAAGGGTCACCTGGAGAAATTCTATCAAACTCCAACTTATCGCATTTTTACCTGGACCTTTAGAATGCAATATTTTGATAATATAAATCTGCTGATCCTGCCATTGGGCCTATTGCGTCCGCCACTATATCATCTGGCCTATGAGGACATTTTCAAAGCCAGCGGTTTGGGTAGCATTATGGCGGAAGGAATTTTCAAACCTCTCTATGACCTAGATGATCCCGCCAATCCCGCCGATATCGACAATTTAGTCGATTTCATTAGTTTATATTCGCCATTTGAAATCTACTTCTCATCGCTGCAGCCGGATGAGATCAAGAGATATGAGGGCATGTTCAACACGACATCGCTGCAGCAGTTGAAGCAATTGTTCTACATCAATGGCATTCATTATCAGTGCGAAGAGGATTACGCCGATGAAGATCGGGTCAGTTTTAATATTATCAATTTGCCGGCGTTCAATGATGCATTCGATTGTAAATTGAATAAATTTTTGAAAAAGATGACGTAATACCGATGAGAAAATAAAATTGAAATGATGAAAAAGTAAAAAAAAATGGAAAAATTTGAAAAAAACATTCTGAAGTTTAAAGAAACCACTAAGGAAAAGTCAAAAGTCGGGCGGGGCTGACTATATGATACCCTATACCACTATGCATATTAAGTAGAACTCCCGTAACAAATGAATTTATTTGAAGTAGATCATACCACCCACCAACATCTGGCTTTAGAGCAGTTATAGTTTAGTTTCAGAGGGAAAGGATACAGGGGAGGCATATCCAATTCGGAATCGATTTTCATTAAATTTGTCGGGGACATTTTTATTTGAGAAAAATAATAATTAAAAAAGAAATAAATAAATAAAAAAGCTGTAAGTTCGACCTGATTGAACTTTGAATACCCTCCATCGTTTGGATCGAATTTGTCTATTCTCAAAACCAAGAAAATTCGTTAAAAATTCTGTTAAAATCTTAAAAATGCCGAATGTAGCTGTTACATTAGGGTCTATACGACTACACGGACCTGCATCGGTAATTTTTGTCATAAGCCATCACATCATATTCAAATGCGAAACTTAAAAAAATCGGTGAATAATGTCGCCAAAATCATCAAAATACCTAATATCGGGAGGTACCGTTATATGGCGGCTATACGAAGACGTGGACCTGAACAGACAATTTTCTGTCTCAGGTTGTAGTATCCATTTCGAACTTCAAATACCAAATTTGAAACAATTCCGGTGAATAATGTCGCTAAAATCAAAAAAGTACCGAATATCGGAAGGTACCATTATATGGAGGCTATACGAAGATGTAGACCTGCACAGACAATTTTCTGTCTTAGTTTGTAGTATTCAATTCGAACTTCAAATACCAAATTTCAAACAATTCCGCTAAATAATGTCGCTAAAATCATCAAAATACCGAATATCGGGAGGTACGATTATATGGGGGATATACGAAGACGTGGACCTGCTCAGACAATTTTCTGTCATAGGGTGAAGTATCCATTACAAACATAAAATACAATTTTTGAAAAAAATCCGGTGAAAAATGTCGCTAAAATCATTAAAATATCGAATGTCGGGAGCTAGCGTTATATGGGGGTTATACGAAGACGTGGACCTGCACAGACAATTTTCTGTCTTAGGCTGTAATATCCATTACGAACTTCAAATACCCAATTCGAAACAATTCCGGTGAATAAGGTCTCTAAAATCATCAAAATACCGAAGATCGGGAGGTACCAATATATGGGGGCTATACCAAAACGTGGACCTACATGGCCCATTTTCAATGACAAAAGTCCTGCAGACATAATATACATTTAATTAAAATTTTACCAACCTACTTCATTTCGTTAGGAAGCTAGAGTTATTTCCACAGACGTATAGACGGACGGCCATAGACGGAAAAAGTCTCCTCCTCAGGGGCCTGAGGACATTTTTTCTATGCGGAAAAGGTCTCCTCAGGGACCTGAGGAAATTTTTTCTATGCGGAAGAAGTCTCCTCAGGGACCTGAGGAAATTTTTTCTATGCGGAAGAAGTCTCCTCAGGGACCTGAGGAAATTTTTTCTATGCGGAAAAAGTCTCCTCAGGGACCTGATGAAATTTTTTCTATGCGGAAAAAGTCGCCTCAGGGACCTGATGAAATTTTTTCTATGCGGAAAAAGTCGCCTCAGGGACCTGAGGAAATTTTTTCTATGCGGAAAAAGTCTCCTCAGGGACCTGAGGAAATTTTTTCTATGCGGAAAAAGTCTCCTCTGGGACCTGAGGACATTTTTTCTATGCGGAAAAAGTCTCCTCAGGGACCTGAGGACATTTTTTCTATGCGGAAAAAGTCTCCTCAGGGACCTGAGGACATTTTTTCTATGCGGAAAAAGTCTCCTCAGGGACCTGAGGACATTTTTTCTATGCGGAAAAAGTCTCCTCAGGGACCTGAGGACATTTTTTCTATGCGGAAAAAGTCTCCTCAGGGACCTGAGGACATTTTTTCTATGCGGAAAAAGTCTCCTCAGGGACCTGAGGAAATTTTTTCTATGCGGCCGATGATCACTCTTCACTTAATCGACCGTGGCATCAGAATAATGTTCGGTTTTCTGGTATTTTTTTTTTTTTCAATATTTTTATCTGCATCAGATAAAGTATTAAAATGGAATACTTCGGTCCGCTATATCTGCTATCTCACGCATATTTCCACTTAAAGTACAGCAAGTAGTCGATATAGTCCAAATCTGTCACTTTGTTATATTAATATCATAAATTTACCTGAAGGAGTGTACCGATATATTCATATCATAACACCAGATTTTGTAACACCAGACCTCGGCTTAACAATAATATTGGGATGTGTGAAATTTTGAAGACAATTGGACTTTTAGATCACATTGTATGTGGGTTGTAAATATTCAAAATGTTGACCCTGAGTGGGGGGAGGTCATTAATGGAGTTGTTCGATATTGTCCATTTTCGCATCTGACCTAGAACTGACACAGGTATTAGGATTTGCAAGGTTGGAGCAAAATCGGATTATCGCTTGACTTTCTGTGCAGAAAATATATTTTTTGAGCATTTTGACCTTTTGTGGGGTGGGGGGAGGTACAAGAAGGAGTGGACCGATATCTTCCATCTTAACACCAGGTGTGTGAACTTTGAAGACAATCGGACACGTAGATCATATGTTATAAAAATTTATAATTATTCAAAATGTTGACCCTAAAGGGGGGAGGTACCTTATGGACTGAACCCATATTGTCCATTTTAGCGCCTGACCTAGCATTGATACAAATATTAGGATTTGCAAAATTGGAACAAAATTGGATTATCTTTCCTCTCTCTCTCTCTCTCTGTGCAGTAAAATATTTTGTTTGAAAATTTTGACATTATGTGAGGGAGATACCAGAAAGAGTTGACCGATACTGTCCATCTCCGAACTGGATCTAAGTTTGACTATAATATTACGATGTACAAAGTTTGGATCAAATCGGATACTCCATTCGAGAGTTATCGTGCGCACCAGCCAGGACGGACGGACATTGCTAGATCGATTCCAAATGTCTTAAAACGGATTTGGTCCAAAGAGTAGACTCCAGGTCTCTTTGGACCAATCCGTTTTAACCGTTATTTCGAAAAGGCACGTTTTGACCATATCAAATACGCCTGAGGGTATAAAAATGTCATTGTATCGAACATTAACGTACATATGCATCCAAGAAATAATGACCCTGACAAACGTCAGATAACCGAATTTGGCCCATAAAAAAATAAAATTTTAAAAGCAAAACTTTATTCATGAACTTTAACCTCACATAAGCGATATGCCTAGGAATAAATCTGCACATATATAGTCTGCTGATACCACTGCAAGACTCGTCGGGATTTCAAATAAATAATGGGTATTTCATAATTTCCAACATTAGTTTTTATTTAATTTTCGCAAAGGCATCTTCCAGTAAATCGCGTCGGGGCACACAAAAAAAAATGAAATTATTTTTCCACCTAGCTGTGGTGGCGTTTTTTCTGTGTGTAGTAGTGGCCAGAGCCAATGCAACCGAAGATCCCAAAATCCTTAATCAAAACTACTATCGCCATTTGATGGAAAATTTGGACAAAGGCAAGAGTCCCTGTTCGAAATTCTATCCCTACGTGTGCGCCAAATGGATTGAGAGCAATAAGGAGAATAAGGACACCTACGATTCCATACAACAGCTGATGAACTATGAGGCGAATATGGAAATCATTGAATATTTGGAAAAGACACCGGTGGCCGATATGCCAGACCATGTAAAAATAGTTAAGGATTTCTATGAGTCCTGCACCAAGAGCAAAGAATTGAAACTCAAAGAATTTATGCACCATATAGAAAAGGAGGACAACATGAAGTGGGCCCTGCTCACCCCCTTGGAGAATAAGGATGTGGTCTTCGATTGGCCCTCTACCATGGCCATATTCCGTAAATATGGTTTCAATGATTTCCTGGTGGAACAGTGGAACGGCCCGAAGTCTATTTTTAAATACATCAAAAAATCCAACATGAAACATTTGCGAAAGAACCTCAGACTGCCTGAGGGTACCATGGATTTCATGGATCTATGGTCACTCATTGACGATTTTGAAGATAAATACAATGAAGTGGAAGTCCAGAAACCGGAAGAAAGGCTGTATAAATTCAAAGATTTGCCTTATGCATGGTTTAAAAAATACCTGACAACTTTGATGGAGCCTCATCATTTGGATGACAACATGGAGATAAACATTTACAACATTGTGTGCTTGGAAGATCTGGATAAACTACTGAGGGACTATGATGCAGCATTCCTTTGCCGGTATTTGGAAGTACGTTTTCTACTCTATTTGGAAGAGGTCGATATCCCTGGCAATGCCAATGAATGTATGACCCAGGCCAAAATGATCTTTACCATGGCCACTGATTGGATCTACAAGGAATTGCATCCAGAAGTGCTGCAGGAAATTCCCAGATTGGATCAAATGTTTGAAAATCTTATCAGAAATGTCAACTCCACCCTGCAAATGGCTGCCAAGCCGACCATTGTACCCCTGGAATTCTTTGAGAAACTGGAAACAATGAAACTGCAAGTGGGCCAACTACCTTTGGAAAATTCGGAGGAAATTTTGAAATCAAATTATGAAAATATGAAATTGGATCTCCAAGATTATCCGGGTATTTATTTGAAGATGTTACAATTCTATTTTGAAACGCAAATGAAAGTCGCCGCCACGACGCCATCGGCCAGTGTCGAAAAGTTGTACAAAACTCCAACTTACAGTCTTCAGAGTTGGGATTTCAGACCCACATATGAGGCCGAAACCAATCGCCTAATCTTGCCATTTGCTGCGATGCGTCCACCATTCTACCATGTGGCCTATGATGACATTTTCAAAGTGAGTTCAATGGGCAGCATTCTAACCGCTAATATTTTTGGACCTCTCTACTATATGGAAGGATTGCCGAATTCAGATATCGACATATTGTCCGAGAGTATGGCTCTATATTCTACATATGAAATTTATTTCTCATCCCTACAACCGGAGGAGCTCTCAAGATATGAATCCATGTTTAACATGACCTCGTTGCAGGAGCTAAAACAACTGTTCTACATCAATGCCCTTCATTATAGCTGCGAGCTGGATGACGACGATGAGGATATTCTCAATTTGCACGTTATCAATATGTCCGGCTTTAATGAGGCATTCGAGTGCAATGTAAATAAATTTTTGAAACAACTTTCATGAGCGAAATAATAAAAAAAAAATTATCCATTGGATTGAATTGCAATCACAACTGTCTTAATATTTTCTTAAAGTTCATATTTTTATGAAACAAATTTGATGATATATTTCCATGGTCCACATTAAGTTTAGACATTTCTTTTATTCGGGGACTCATAATGAAATTTGGTCTAGAATATTTCTTCCTTTGACACTAGCCCAAAAAAATTAAATATTGAGGGAGATTTTGACTTAAAATGGAAACGTGCTAAAAAATGTAAAAAAAGTTAAACACATAAATCTCCACTTTTAATACCTAAATTTGTCATGTAATTTTCTTAAAAACCATTGTATCTAGATACACAGTTTGTTCTAAGACTTATAGTGAAATTTGGTGTAGAATATTTCTTCTTTTGAGACTTTCTGTCTAAAATGAAATTTTATGTTACTTTCATGCATCGACTCGAAAAAAAGGAAGAAGAAGTATAAATGAAAAAATAAGGAAATATTTTCGCGTTTTTTTTTTTGTCAATTTTGATGCAAATATTTTCTTGATATCTAATGGAAATAGAGATTTCTTTTCTTTGGTGACCAATAGTGAAATTTGATCTAGAATATTTCTTCCTTTGAGACTTTCTCCAAAAAAAGAAGTATTTTGGGAGATTTTGATTAAAAATGTAAACTTTTTTATTTAACGCAGAGAAAATGTAAACACATAAATTTCCTCTTTTGATAAATACATTTCAAATGTAATTTTCTAAAAAACGATTACACCTAGGAAAACCTTTTGTTATAAGACTAAGGTGAAATTTAGTGTAGATTATTTCCTCTTTTAAGACTTTTTGCCTAAAATGAATATTTAGGTTACCTAGAGGCATCAAAAAGGCCGAGTGGAAATTTATCAAAAAAATTGGAACTATTTTCGCGTTTTTTATGTTGGTGGCAACATTGATGTAAATATTATCCTGATAACTAATGGAGATAGAGATTTTATTTCTTTGGTGACTGATAGTGAGATTTGATCTTAAATATTTCTTCCTTTGACACTTCTCCAAAAAATGAAGTATTTTGGGAGATTTTGATTTAAAATGGAAACGTGATAAATTGCCACTTATAATATATTTATTTATTTATTTATTTATTTATTCAAACTCATTTGTGTAATACAGGGCCTCTAAGACCATAAAATCATATTACATAGCTAGCAAAACCTGAGTATTTAATACTTATAATTAAATACAAAAAAAATTAAAACTATAAAATAATTTCTCTTCATTGGCTCCCCAGCCATAATAATATAATAAGACAAGAAAAATATAGCGTCCAAGCAAACAATAACTCAAATAATTGTAATACAATGCAATCAATATAAAGATCATTTCACCAAAAGTCAGAAAATCAGAAGCATGGCTATTTAGAAAAGAAAACTACAGCTCAAAAGAAGCAAAATGAATAAAAAGTTTCTTCCTAAAAACATTATTAGAGTGGGAAAATATCCTCAGTTCATAGGGTAATAGATTCCAATTCCGTGCAATTCTAACTAAGAACGATCTCGCACAAACATCTCTATAAATCCTTGGTATAACTATTTGAGGATTTCTTGTTGAATGAGAAAACACAAAAAGACTGTATAGAGATGTTGGTGTGCGACATTTGATAATATTATAAAAGGCAACAAGAATCCTATAAGACACAAAATCGGTAAAAGAACACCCCAGAAAAAGTTTAACATATCTAGATATATGGTTCCTTCGGGGAACGTTGTAAACAAAACGCACAACTGAATTTAAAATTCTCTGTAAACGTGTAAAACTGATCCCGATACAACCCGAGATTACTTCCAAACCATATAGAATGTTAGACATCAGCACAGCATGAGCTAAATATTTTCTAATACGAAGAGGCATATATAATTTGGCGGAATAGATCTTTCTCAACAAAAAGCAAACTCTCCCAGATAAAGCATCAATATGTTGTCTAAAAGAAAGCTCATTATCCACTATAACACCTAAAATTTTGTGGTGAGTAACAAATTCAATATTATTGTAATTTAAATGGACATTTATATCGGAAGCCATATTATTCCCCCTACCAAACATCAAAGTCTTAGTTTTTGACGGATTAATTGTAAGATAATTCGCCGATGCCCAATTAGAGAATTGCTGCAGACATTCATTTACATTGCTTTCGAACAAAGATAAGTTATCACTATCTCCAGTTAAAATGAAGAAAATGTCATCAGCAAACTGCAACGTTTCACAAGATTTGAACTGCATGGTATCACGCAAGTCATTAACATAAAGAAGGAATAATAGTGGTCCCAGTATAGAACCTTGCGGTACACCACTATTTAAACTCACTGGGTCAGATTGGTTACCATTGATAGCAACAAACTGTGATCTATCTCTGATAAATGAATAAATCAGTTTACAGGCAGTTCCAGAAAAATTAAAATTATCTCTTAATTTAGTGATTAAATGAGCAAAGTTAATGGAATTGAACGCTTTTGACAGATCAAGAGATAAAAGGACACTTAATTTTCGATCATTAATATTATGGCGGATGAAATCAGTGGCTTTTAAAAGTAAGTGTGTGGTGTTGTGCCTTTGCCGGAATGCAAACTGTGTGTCAGATATCATATTTGAAGTGTATTCCAAAATTTGATTCTTTAAGATCACTTCCATAATTTTTGAAATTGCTGGTAGGATTGATATTGGACGTAGGTCATCTGGACTATATACGTTTTTAGCTTTTGGTATAGGAACTACTCGGGCATTTTTCCAAGCTAATGGGTAAGAGGAACAAGTCAAGATGAAATTGACCAAATCCAAAATATAGTCACATATGTAAGGAATGACAAGTTTTATAAAGCGGATTGGTATTCCATCAATACCAACCGCATTCGACTTAATTTTATTAACCGCCTCAAAAATCTCAACCACAGAAACACATCTAAAGGAAAACGAAGTAGTGTCATTAAATTGAGTTATATCAAAATTATCATCCGACGTAGAATTGGCCTGTGCGAAAAAAGTATTTATATCATTGACATCAATATCAAATTCTGCGCTATCATGTTGCACACATCCCGAATTCCTGAGCACTTTCCAAATTTCAGACGAAGTCATATTACCAAAAAGCTTTGAAAAATATCTCCTTTTATTCCTACGAATAACTGTCCTTGCTTTGTTACGATACCTACAATACTTTACCCAATTTTCCTGAGACTTATTTCTCTGGAAAGCAGTATATGCTAGATCCCTTACAGATCTTGCAAAAGTTACGTCCCTTGCCATAAACCAACGATCTGGAGAAAACTGTACCTTCTTTCTAACAATTGGTACACAAGAAAAAAGATCAGCAAGCAAACCACCTAAATAAGAACATTTTTCATTTGCATCGATTGAATTAGACATTGCATTATTATCAAAGGACTCAAGAAAGCTAAATAACCTAATCCAATTAATATTGTTATAATCACGAAACTCTATAAAATCGGGCAGATAATGGACATCGAAATCTATAGATGCAAAAATAAGAGCATGGTCAGACACAGACGGACATTGAACCTGATCAAAATATCTCACACATGAACTATCACTCGTAAGCATATAATCAATAAGTGAGGTTGATCTTCTACCTAAGTTAAAATGTGTGGGCATGGAATTATGTACGATAGATATATTATACTGGGCACAGATAGAACGAAAAGCATTGGCTCTGGATGTGTCAAAGAGATTGATGTTAAAATCCCCTAAAATGAAAACTTTGGAGTATTTAGAAAATAGGTCTCTATGGTGGCATTCAAATTCAACTAAATTTCCATTGGGCAAATAGACAACACCAAACAATATTTGAATATTGTTAAAATGCACTACGACAAATAACGACTCACATCCTAACTCTGAAACTTTCAACACAACTTTATAAGAAATTCCGCTACGTATAAATATCCCTACACCCCCACCTCTGCCAGGACGATGTCGGTCATTCCGACAGAACTTATATCCAGGCAAGGAAACAGCTTTACTACATATTTCAGCCGACAGCCATGTTTCTGAGACTGCAAAAATATGAAATATGCCATCTCTTAAGATTTGCCTCAACTCTTCAATCTTTGACAAAGGTTTAAGACTTCGGCAGTTTAGATGAGCTAACTTGAAACTGCGGTCAAATGGGCAAAGTACATCCTTTATGTATGAGTTATTATTCACGACTGGACCTAGATTATCACGTAAGGGCATAATAAATCAAAAAACAGTTTGTGGGGGGGAACCAAGAATCGAAATAAAAAACTAATACTATACAATATAAATGCATTTAAAACGAATTCAAACTTAACATACTCATACAGCTGATCATAAAATTCTAAGAAATGAGATCTACTACACAATATTAGGAAACTAGTTATTGAAATGCAAGTATTAAAAAAATGTTAAAGTGTCAAATACTGCTTAAGTGGAAACATCTGGGGATTCATTCAAAAGCGAGGCAGCATTCTTGACGTCAGCAAACAATACTTTGCCGTCCGGAAACATTAGTTTGGCTTTCAGCTCATGTGAGTTCAAAATTTTAAATTTTGTAATAATATTTTGTTTTTGAAGTTTTCTACAAATTGAGTTGAGGTAAGCTGCACCTGGCGAGTAATGCTCGTTAAGATACACACGATTAGTTAAATCCCTACAGGCTCCATCCATTATATCACACGCCTTAAGTGATCTAGTTTTGAAGTATTCCTTCATCATACAGTCACGGGCATGCACATTATTAAATTTGACCAGAATCTGTGCCTTCTTGCTTATGTAAGATACGTGGCTAATGTCACTGCTAGAGATTGGTACGTTGAAAAATGTACCCAAGGATAGAACAGGGGCAAGAAGATCTTCGATTCCCGCTGGCAATCCACCAATTAACATGTCAGCTCTGTTCAGTCTCCGATGCAACAAATTGATCTCAGCTTGCAGATCAGATAGTTTTGATGATGCATTAGATTCCACATGATTAATACGATCGTTGCAAGTTTTTATGTCACTCCTAATTTCAGTGAAACACGAAGACATTTCATTTTTTATATCATCAAGTGCTGTCTTTATAGAATTTTGTTCTGATTGGTTATTCAATATAAACCCATCAAATTTGGCATTTAAATTGCGAATTTCATCAGCAATGCTGTCACTATTGTGATTGGTGCGGGTGTTTCCATTACATTTAGCACAAATGAAATGCGTATATTTCATAGCACGCAACGCTAATAAGTTTTTATCACTAATCTTGGCACAGGGGGCATGTAGCCATTTGTTACAGACTCCACACAATATACTCCCCTGAGTTTTTGTAATAGTCTCATCACAAGCACCACACTTCGTCATTTTTTCTTCCTTAAACACGTAACAGCGCAGCAAACGGCAGCACAGCAACAAGAAATAGCAGCAACAAAAGCAATCAAGAACAACGAAATAAGCAACCAGCAAAATTGTTACGTAAGAACGCCACAATAAGAAACCGCTTGATGAAAATGATGATGATTAAATGATTTATCACACGAACTCCAGGTAATTTGTGTCGGACTATTAATAAATTGCAAGAATTTAGTGCAGCGAAATGTATAACAACGATCAGTGCGAATAAAAAAAGATAATTTAGCGAATGATCAGCCGCAATGAAAAAAAAACACGACTACTCAGGCATAGTGTTGCCAGATTTGCCAGATACAGGGTGAGATAAAAAAACAGCTAAGTTCGGCTGGGCCGAGCTTTTAATACCCTCCACCATTTTAAATAAACTTGAAGAGTTTCCGAAAACTACCACTTCAATGAAAACCGTTATATGGGGACTATACGAAGCCGTGAACCTACATACGAAATATTTTGTCATAGGCTGTAGTACCCATTGATAAATTCAAATACGAAATTCGAAATAATTCCGGTAAATAATGTCGCTAAAATCATGAAAAATACTGAATATCGGGGAGGCACTGTTATATTGGGACTATACGAAGACGAGGACCGACATGGCCCATTTACGAACTTAACCTACCTACTGGGTTATATGGGGGCTATTCCAAGACGTGGACGTGCATACAAAAATTTTTGTCATGGGCTATAGTAGTAGTACCCATTACAAACTTCAAATACGGAATTTGAAATAATTCCCGTAAATAATGTCGCTAAAATCATGAAAATATCGAATATCGGGAGGTACCATTATAGGAGGGCTATGCCAAAACATGGACCGACATGGCCCATTTATGAACTTAAACTGCCTGCAAAATTTTAGCTTTCTATCTCAATTCGTTCGAAAGAGAGCGTGATTACAACCGACAGACAAACAGACGGACATCGATAAATCGTCTTAGAATTTTACGCTGAAATTCTAAGACGATGCGAAAACGTAGACCGACGTAGCCCATTTACGAACTTAAACTGCCTGCAAAATTTTAGCTTTCTATCTCAATTCGTTCGAAAGAGAGCGTGATTACAACCGACAGACAAACAGACGGACATCGATAAATCGTCTTAGAATTTTACGCTGATCCAGAATATATGTACTTTGTAGGATCTATCATGAATATTTCGAGGAGTTACAAACGGAATGACAAAGCTAATATACCTTCCGTAGAATGGTTGAGGGTGTAAAAATAACACAATTTTTGCTCTGTTTTAATATTTTATTTAAAAATTATTAAAAACGGAGAATTGTTGTATTCGTTTTGAGACTATACCCAGTTACCCTTAATTTTAGATTTTCTATATATTATATGTAATTTTGGAAAATGTGATTATTATCAAGCTGAATTAATTATAAAAAATATATATATAATAAGACAAAAAATGGGATCCAAACAAAGAGACATTTTGTTTCGTATCAACATACATCGAGTGTGGCGAAGGAAACGCGTACAATTTCCACTACAAATGTTTAATAGTTTGCCAATAATTTAAATACGTTAAGATTTAATTACAATGTTGGAAGTCTATGTATAACAATTCACGTTTATTATCTATTGGTTTGTTCCCAATTATACTACATATATTATTGGCTATATAACAAAACGTATGTATATGTTCTCCATAGTTCGAAATTTTGTTCGAATCATTACAATAATTTAAATATTTTCATAGCAATAAAAATTCTTCTCCCTCAGAAAGAAGATATAAAGAAATATATAGATTTTTGTTTTTAAGAAGTTCATCTCCCATAAAAAATTGTTTCACTATTTCAGTGGGAAAATTGGAAATTGAAAATATATTGGATCCCATTTGTGATATACTCAAAATAATTTTGTGATAGCAGCAATATGTTTTCATTTTTCTTATTAATTTTCGTTATTTCTATCAAATCGATATAACAAATAATGCACAAATAAAGTCAAATATTAATAAACAACACTTAGAGGCGACGACATATGTATATATATGGTGACAAAAATTAAAGAAGAAATAAGTTTACAAAGTATTTAATTTCAATTCTATGATTGTGATAAACTATTACGAGAACTAGGACGTTCAATTGTCATTGTTTGCTGGGGTACTTGGCTATCGGGACTGATGCCAAGACCAGAATAAATTTCCTTCATAACAAAGAGTATGGTGTCCTCAGAGTCCCTGCAATTGGAAATAGAAAACATTGTCAATTGCAAAGCGTATTTTAATTATTTACTTTTTTTTCTTTTGCATAAACCAACTCACCAATAACACACATGACTGCTGAGCGCAAAAATATACTCATTAATGAATTCCAGCGGTGCCTCCTGCAGCACATAGTCAATACGTTTCGAATCGTTTAATTTGCCCAGGGGGAAATCTATTTCAACCATGTCATCGGATATGGCCGTGGACACAGAATCGGTGCGTGCACGTGGCGGGGCATGTGACGGCAATGGCAATTGTTGACTACTGCTGCTACTTTGCTGTGGCTCATCACCTGGGGATAGGTGATCTTGATTGGGCGTTTGTGATTGCGATGGTTGTTGGCTGCCGCCACTGCCTTGACGTTCCATTTGCATTTGCATTTCAATGACCTGCAGAAAAGAAGTGAAAGAGATACGATTAAATAATCAGAACACAAATATTTTCTTAAAAAAGTTTAAGATTGTAAGTTGCTGAAAAAAATCTTAAAAAGCCATGGATAGCTTGATGTAATATATTTTCTTCATCATTTTTTCATTTCTTTTCTTCATTTCATATTTTCATAAAACAAGAATTGGGAATTAGGTGTCCTATGACTTTCACGATAGGTAACTTAAAATAAGTTCACGACCTTTGTATAATCTCTTAGAAATAAAAAAAATATCCACGACAAGTGGTTCAAAATGTCCTTTAAAGAAATTCACGACTAGTGGCTTAAAAATATTAAAAAAAAAATCTTGACGAATTGGTCAAAAATTTTTGATGAAAAATTCTCCATTAATGAATCTGCCAAAAATAGCTCAAAACATTGGCGTCACCTTGTATGTTGTTAAGGCTCTATATAAAGAAGTCAATTTTTGACTGAAGAACATAAAACTTTTTTGGAACATTAAGTGGAAAATATGAATAAAACTCAAAAAATGCTAGAAATCCTGGTTAGGCCTTTATACAGGGTGAGATAAAAAAACTGCAACAAAGTCAAACGCCATAATTTTTACATTTTTTTAAATGTTATTGAATGAAAGCAAAAAATGTCGGAAATAGCATCAAATTTTAGAATAAGTTTAGATTTCTTCGAATTGGTCACCTTTGGCTCGAATTATGGTCTTCAAACGGCCAATGAAACCGTCACACGCTGCCCAAATGTTGCTCTGCGGTATTTTGGTCCATTCCCGGCGAAGCGCTTGCTTGAGGTGGTATTTTGGTATTTTCTTAGTGCCAACCTTGCTTTTCAAAATACTCCAGACACAATAGTCCAACGGAGATTGGTATCCGGGAATTTTGGTGGCCATTGTGCGCTGAAAATGAAGCGACCATTGTGCGCTGAAAATGAAGTAACCGTTCTTGGGTGGCGAGTGCTATGGTGCTGAGTCCTGTTGGAAATTACAAGGTCTGCGGCCACAAATGTTTGCATTCCCAAGGCTTTAATACACCCTCCAGAATACTTTCGCGAAAATATTCGGCATTTATTCTGATGCCATGTTCGATTAATACGAGCGGAGAGCGATCATCGGCTGTTATGGCCCATACCATCACCATGGCCGGCGCTTGAATTCTGGTGGCCAACTGAAGGTGCACATTTTCAGCTGACCTCTTTGGCAAGTAAACACGATCATTTTGTTTGTTTACAAACTGCTGGACAGCGAATATTTTCTCATCGGAGAACCAAACCAAATTCTTTAACTCTTTTGAGTCTATTTTCTTTCTGTTGCGGTGTAAGTTCTTGGACTTTTTGGAATTTCAATGGCTTTACTCCGAGCTCATTTTTCAATATTTGCCGAATGGAATATGGGGATATGTTCAGCTCATGACCCATTTTTCGGCCATTGCGACGTGGGTTTCGATCAAATCGCTTCTTTACTTTTCGAACCATTTCTGTTGATGTTGCTGGTTTCTTCCGTCCACTTCCTTGACGTCGGGCAACAAGTGAAGTGTTCTAACATTAGCCACTTGTAGTTTTCCAAAGTAATCACACTATCACGAATAATTTTTTTTTCTAGAAAATTCTCACCGAAATGCTTTTGTACGCTTGTAAAGAATATAATGAGCTGTCACTGGAATAATATTAATAGCTGTCGGACGAATGGCTTGGAAATGACAGCAGTCTGGCGTTGGTTGCAGTTTTTTCATCTCGCCCTGTATAGTAGAATTTTCTATGACAAAAATTTTTTGCCGTTTTTTATTTTTGCCGAATTATAACCATTTTTGAAAAAAGACAAAAACACTCCTTGTTGGCTCGCTTGAGGGTTAAAATTAAAAAATTTCGACAAAATTTTGAATAGTAATATTTGTCGAAGACACAATATATCTAAAATTTAAGGATCTCAGGGAACCTTCATAACAAATGTGGAAGAGGTGGAAATTTTTTCACTATGTAGCTCCACTTACATAATCTACCGGCCGATCAAAAATAGTCCCAAAAAATTTACGCCTGGTGGCCGAAAAATATTCTTAATAAATAATCCTAAAACATTCCCTCTGGCAGCCAAAAAAATATTCCCAAAAAATCCACTTCAGGCTGCCCAAAAATATTGCAAAAAACCTCCTAACTGGCAGCCCCATAATATTCCCAAAAAATCCCCATCAGGCAGCCCACAACAATTCCCAAAAAATCCGCATTTGTCCCACTCACCTTTTGCACTTCCTTCTCCATCATTTCCTCCGTTTCCTTTTTCGACTTGGCCAGGGGTCCAAAGAAGTTGACACTATCTAATGTGTTTTTGAACTTATCCAAGAAACGATGCTTCAAATCTGTGCTGACACGCGCCATAGTCTCCTTCAATTCCAAATGCATGCGTTTGCGTCCCTTGTGATGGGGTATTAGGACGGGGCGTACGCCACTTAAATCAGGATTGACTAAAGCTTCAATGCGATAGGCAACCGGATCATAGGGATGGAAAATGTTATAGAAACCGGGACATGTGGGTAGACGGAAGTCCAGGCCAAGCTTATCAATGCCACGAATGGTGACAAACATACCTAGGAAAGGAAATTTCGTTAACTACAATCTATGACAAGTATTTATCCCACCTACCTATGGGCGAGCCAAGGGCAAAGAATTTCTTGGGCTGAAAGATCAATTGCCCGTAATTGATGAACGGTTGTCCAGTGCCAGCTGGACCCATGGTATAACTAATCGATTTTGCTTCCAATTGTTGATTGCTATCTGTTGCCAAATTGCCTTGGCTAAGAAATTGTTGATCGGGATTTTCGAGATTCTTTTCTTCACTTTCTTTGATGGGATTTTGATGACACAGCAAATCGAAAAGTATCAATGATCCCAAGCTATGGCCAGCCAAGGAAACGCCACCACTGAAATCAGGATGCCTTTGACGATATTTCATGTAGATGTCATTTAGCGACATTACAATTGAATTCATAATCCTTTGACAGAATGTGGGACTGGTATAGAAGAGAATATCCAGCAGAGTGTCGTTGGTAAAGTTGCGCAATTTCGGTATAGATTCCAAGGTAATGGAACGTAATTTCTCATCGATGCCCAATTCGATGGAGTGCAGGTGGCTGTGCCATGATATGGGCAGGACTTCAACGCGTCCCACCAAACCCAAATCGGCGGAATTTTTGTAATGCGACTGGACCAATTGATGGGCAATGGTGCGGAAATCTTCAACTGCAATGGGACAAAAAGGGAGTATTTAATTTAAGCTTGGAATGTAGGTTGTAATTGTTGTTGTTAGCTTACCAACTTCCTCTACCGATCTCAGTTTCAAATCACAGGCCGAACCAATGCCATGAACCATGAAGAGTAGATGATCCACTTTCTGGGATTCACCCTGGGCAATATTGAAGTCGTCAAGATCCCGCTTCACCACTCGCGGTCTGGTGGTTGTTTGCTAAAAGAGAACAGCATTTAATTTTAGACATCTTCCATTGAGGACATGTCCTTACCGTTGTACCACCCCAGGCATCTTGATTTTGTTGTTGCTGGAAGTGTACAATAACCGTGGGACCATGGAACACCACCTGTTCGCCCATACCCAATATTATGGTTTTATGCCACACCCCACTTTCGGCTGCCTGTTTATATTCGCCCTCCAGGACGTCGGCGGTGCTCTCTTCATAGGGTATATATTTGGAATCGACTGCTTTGTAGAACCATGAACAACGTCTCACCTCGATGGGTTCACTTTCCCAGTAGACACTGCGCTTGAGACGTTCCTTGATGTAGACATCATAGCGGCCACCTTCAACGGCCACAACTTCGGGTTTATCTTCTGGAAATGTAAAATGGAAATGGGAGAAAATTGGATTAACAACTTGTGTTTGATTTTGGAAGGTATGGACACATAGCTGAAATGTCATATAGGATCATGGGTCACGGAGATCTGAAGTACCTATTTTGAGAATTTACAAATGCATTTTACGAATATTTTTGAAAGAGCCGAGAATATTTAGCCATTGATGGGCCAGAGGATAGGTCTAGTTTTGAGTTCGATTTTTTCTCTTATTTTTGAATTTTTATAGCATACTTTTAGGCGCTACACACAATTTTAAACTTCATAGAAACGCATTATATCATAATGCATGTACAGAGTGAGATGAAAAAACTGCAACCAACTTCAGACTGCTGTCATTTCTAAGCCACTCGTCCGACAGCTATTAAAATTAATCCAGTGACAGCCCATTATATTGTTTACAAGCGTACCAATGCATTTTGGTGAGAATTTTCCAAAAAAAAGTCATTCGTAATGAAATACATTCGGGTGGAAAACCGCAAGTGACTACCCACAGAGCACTCCAGCATTTAAATGTGAATAAATCTTTTGTGTCTCGTACCATCGTTACTGTGATACTGGTTGCGTAGCCCGACGTCAAGGAAGTGGACGGAAGAAAACAGCAACATCAGCAGAAATGGTTCGAAAAGTAAAGAAGCGACTTGATCGAAACCCGTGTCGCAGTGGCCGAAATATGGCTCGTGAGCTGAACATATCGCAATATTCAATTCGGCTAATATTGAAAAATGAGCTCTGGGTAATGTCATAGAAATTCCAAAAAGAAAATAGCCTCAAAAGAGCTAAAGAGTTGTTTCGCATTTCCGAATTTGGTTTTCCCCGATGAGAAAACATTCGTTGTCCAGCAGTTTTTAATCAAACAAAATGATCGTATTTTCTTGCCAAAGAGGGCAGCTGAAAATGTGCACCTTCGGTTGGCCACCAGAACTCAAGCGCCGGCCGTCATAACAGCCGATTATCGCTCTCCGCTCGTCTTAATCGACCGTGGCATCAGGATAAATGGCGAATATTATGGAGAAAATATTATGGAAGGTGTATGAAAGCCTTGGACACGCAAAAATTTTGGCTGCAGACTTTGGACATTCCAACATGACTCATTACCAGCACTCAGTACGCACCACTCAAAAATAGTTACAAAATGGGGTTCCTCGCTTCTCTACCAAAATCTCCTTATACCAATCCGTTGGACTATTGTGTCTGGAGTATTTTGGAAAGCAAGGTTGGCACTAAAAAATACCCAAATGTCGATCACCTCAAGCAAGCGCTTCGCCGGGAATGGACCAAAATATATCAGAGCAAAATTCGGGCAGCGTGTGAAGGTTTCATTGGCCGTTTGAAGGCCATAATTCGTGCCAAAGGTGACCAATTCGAACAAATCTAAACTTATTCTAAAATTTGATGCTATTTCCGACATTTAATAAAATTAAAAAAAAAATTTAAAAATTATGGCGTTTGACTTTGTTGCAGTTTTTTTATCTCACCCTGTATACACATCACTATAACATATAGAGCTTTAAAATTTTGCCTAGAAATTGTCCAGGATGTTTTGTAAGAAAAAATATATCGGCCCAGACACGGGCATAGTCTCCATATAACGTCCCATATAACTCAGGGGGTATGATTTTCAGTCTGGATTAAATGTGCTGCAATTTGAAATTTGTGGGTGGTCTCAGTGGGAGTTTTGAAGGTTTCTTTCGAATTTTCAACAAAATCCCCATTAAATTGGCATTTCGGGTTTTGAGTGGGCGAATGAATTCATTCCTCGCAAAAAATAAATATTTTAGGTGAATTTTTGTTAGTGGAAAATTTTGAGCCACCTGTTGCAGATTTCCATTTTTTTAATATTTTCAAATTACAATTTCAGGATTTATACAAATACTTTTGGCCCGTGAGACGTGATATTTTTTAGGAATATATATTACCCAGAAGTTATTTTAAAAACAAGTTAAAAAGTATCAGTCGGTATTGCCGCCAGAGATATACCCTCAGCCTATGTTCGATTATCTAAATATATTTTTACTAGTGTTAAGGTTATTCAAACGTTTGACCCTCTATGGAGCAGATCTCGAAAGAATGGGCCAATATTGCCCATTTCCTATCGGACCCAAAATATGATATAAATATTTCGACAGATGTGCCAAGTCTAAATGGAATCGGATGTTAATTTGGCGATTTATGAGCTTCATGGGTACTCAAAATTTCAATATTTTGTGGGGGAGGTACCAGAAGGAGTGGACCGATGTATTCCCCCTTCACACCAGACCATGGGCTAATACAAATATTAGGATGTGTGAAATTTGAAGACAATCGGACCTTTACATCACATTTAATGAGATTGTAATTATTCAAAATTTTGACCATTTGTGGGGGAGGTACTTGATGGAGTGGACCGATATTGCCCATTTTCACACCTGACCTAGCACTGACGCAAATATTAGGATTTGCAAAGTTGGAGCAAATTCGGATTATCCTTTCTCTTCGTGTGCAAAAAATATATTTTTTGAAAATTTCGACCTTTTGTGGGGGAGGTACCAGAAGGAGTGGACCGATATTGCCCATCTCCGAACTCGATCTAAGTTTGACAAAAATATTACGATGTAGCCAATTTGGACCAAATCGAATACTCCCTTCGAGAGTTATCGTGCGCACCAGCCAGCCAGACAGACGGACGGACATCGCTAGATCGACTCCAAATGTTCTGAAACGGATTTGGTCCAAAGAGACCTAGGGTCTAAATCCGTTATTTCGACTAGGCACGTTTAGGCCGTATCAAATGATATATACCCTCTGTAGCCATATGGCTGAGGGTATAATAATAACTTCTATGAGCTTACGTTCTCGTCACATGGGTAAAAAAATGTTTTTGTCATAGAAGTTATTTTTAAAATAACTTCTGGGGAGAATATCCCAGACAAAAAACAAGGTAACTAATGAGGATTGGTGGCTCTTTCCGAAACCTAGGTATTTCCTTCCTTACCCCCTGGTAAACACTACCATCGTTCTCCACTAATAAACAAACGTTGTTTTTATAAAAACAACAATAAAGGGATAAGGCCTGACCATTTTGCAACAACAAAATACTATGGTATCCCGAACAAACAAGCCAATATGTCGCCATTATGCTATTGTGGAATATAGGGTATCAACATATTTGACTTTGACCATTCTTGTTTTGTTTGTTACTCTTATCTGTTCTGACTTTCTTTTCCAATCTGAACCAGTATAGAAAAGAATGTGAATATTCTAATTGCTGCATTGATTCGCCCAGATATGTTTGTTGTCTCCCAGTCTAGGCACGTGAACAATTTGCAACACAACGATGACCTTGAGATAACATTTGAAACACCAAATTCTTCATTCAAAACTACTCATCTGGGAGGCATTAACTTTACGTATGCGATATGTTTTCGTTATTTTTTTTTTTGTTCATGCAAAAAAATATAAAAAAATACAAACAAAAAACAATGTACGTTTTTTTACTAAAGCCAACAAAAAAAATTGATTTTATGTGCAATAACTTTGTTGGGCATGTACTATGTGTTAAAATTCAAAATTTTCCAAGATTACAGGATAATCCCAGTAGATTTTAAAAAAAGTAGTAAAAGTAAAAGAATAAGAAAAAGTTTTTAAAATTTACAACACAAAGTAACCAAATCGGAGGAGAGAATAGGGGTCCCTTCCAAATTTTTGGACCATTTTTAATTAAGATTTTTTGGAATTCTTTCAATTTAGATACATAGTGTCTGTGGGAGTATCACTGCTAACAATACAATGATTATTTTTGAGCCCTCAAGTGAGTCACCGAACCTGTCTTTTTTACCAATAAATGGTTAAAAATTTCCTTTTGAACGGGGTGACAGAAAGTGAAAATATTTTGCAAAAATATTCGTCATGAAATTATATGAAAGATCCCGGAATACATCAAAAGTCTAAGCCTTACCAAAACGCCAAGAATTCTCCTACAAAGCATCATGCTAGAAGGATGCCATCAAAGACGTAAATATTCTTCATCAAATTTCACCATAAGTCGCCATAGAAAATAAATCTCTATTTCCAATATTTTTAAAAAATATTTGTATTAATATGGCCAAAAAAAACTCGGAATATATTTCCAAATTGTTTCGATAAATTTTTCCTCGGTCTTTTTACGCGTTGATGCAAGGAAGTATCATAAAATCTCGTTTTGAGCAAAAAGTCTCAAAAGAGGAAATATTCTACACCAAATTTCATTATAATTCTCGGAATAGACTACATATCTAAATTTAATAATTGTTAAGAAAATTACATTCGAAATTTTTATTTTAAAAGTTTAAATTAGGTGTTTACGTTTTCTACTATTAATTGTATATGTTTCTAATCTGAGTCAAAATCTCCCTGAATATTTATTTTTTAGGGAAAAGTGTAAAAGGAAGAAATATTCCAGATCAAATTTCATTATGAGTCTCTGAACAAAAGAAGTGTCTAAAGTTAATATGTATCGTAAAATATATTATTAATATTAAGTTTTTCAAAAAAAAAAAAAAATGATGATTTACTTTTCATGAGAAATTTTTTGGTCTGCTTCCGAGTTGATACATGAAAGTAAGATAAAACTTAGTTTTAGGCATAAAGTGTCAATGGAGGAAATATTCTATACAAAATTTCACCATAAGTCTTATAATAAACTATATATGTAGGTACAATAGTTGTTAAGAAAATTACAAATGAACTTCATATATTAAAAGTGGAATTTTGCGTTCACATTTTTGTCTATTAATTTTATACGTATCTGTTCTGAGTCAAAATCTCCCATAAAAGTTAATTTTTTGGGAAAGTGTTAAAGGAAGAAATATTCTACATCAAATTTTATTATGAGCCTCCGAACAAAAGAAGGGTCTAAAGTTAATATGTATCGTAAAATAATGCAATTAATTTTCAGTTTGTAAAAAAAAAACGTTTTCATTTTTCATGGAATTTTTTTGGCCTTTTTATGAGTTGATGCA